TTAGATCAGCAATGTCAAAAGTGAAGGTAACCATGATGATCAGCAACTTCCAGAGGAGAAGCTGATACAAGAAGAAGAAAATTTAAAGGCTTAAAAAGGTTTCTCATTAAACAGATAATGGAGAACTATCAACAATATTTAGAAGCATCGCCATTGTTGTTACAAATGTTTGGCTTCTCAAAAAAAATGAATGTATAACCTTAAATTTATATTCAAAAGATTTCTTTTTCAGTCATGCTTCAGCAGAACTACACACACACAACTACACCTTTAGTTTGACTGATGTAATTACATTATCATAAAACTATGTCTACACTTTATAATTCACATTTATTGTAATGATGTAAGGTGTAAAATTTTGTCGATAAGAAATTTGAATTGACCTGCCGCGACCATTTTTTTATGAAAAAAATAGAGTATTTTACTGATACTTTGCGCCGTTATATCATAGAAAATCATAGGGACGTTGTACTGGTGTAGTCTAATGCACCAAAGGATAATCTTGGCACCTTATTGCCTTGATGACTATTTTAGTATGTTAATTAAGTATATGTTGACTTGTTAAGATTTTTTTTGTATGTGTAATCTCTCTTTGACATTCTTGTTACTTCTGTTTGACGTCATTTCACTTTGTTATATAATGTAACAAATTTCAAATAAAAAATATGTTATTTTTATTATTATTATTATCATTATTATTATTATTATTATTATTATAACACCGAAATATAGAACATGAAAAAAATGAATGAATATTTAGTTTTAATGGTCTGCGGTACAAAGATACCCAAATATTTGGATTTTTTTTTTAAATAACAATGACACTTAGCAAAGGTATTTAATTATTTTGAAAAATAAGTTATTCGAGTTATAAGTATTAAAATTGCTTTACTTTTGAGAAATTTTAATTAATTAATTTTTAGGCATTTAACTGTTGTCAAAGGTTCACGCACTGTATTTGCAATCCTCGAGATTATTTCTTTACTCTGTATAGTATTCTTAGCAATCGTCTATGTAACTACATTTCAGATGCTTCTTGACGGTTGATTGTGGCAGCTTTCAATGTTTAGACTTCAGCTCCGTACAATAGCACAGACAAAATGTAACATTTAATTATTCATTAGTCTTACTGTCTGTCAGACTATTGTTACAAAACAGTGATCTTATTTTCAGGAATGGTGTACGGGCTGATTCAATCCTACATTCAATTTCCTTATCTGGGTTGAGTTGCTAGGTGATGTACCATCCAAAGTATTTAAAATTGGATACCATTAATCTGTAGTGAAGAATTGAAGTATATACGGGCGGCTAAAGATCATAAACTTGGTCTTAACAATTATATTTAATCTTATTTCCTGTCCCACTGTATCAACAGAATTTATGAGATTTTGGAGAGTCAGAGGCTCATCACCGCATCGTCGACCTAGTGAACAGTTTTAATCAGTTGATTTTGAATCCGATTTTTTTTTATATAAAGCCTCCTTAAAGACTTTGCTCCAGCTGTGAATCTTCCTTTGACTAGAACGACTGTCTTCTGTCGCCAGTAGAGGTCTTAATTATTCGTCAGTCTAATCCATCAACTCCAATGTTAATATATTTATAAACTTATTGTTGTTGCACTCTGTCGAAAGCCTTGTCATAATTAGAAAAATACATGAAAACATCCTTACGCGGCACTGAAGTGAACATTGTTTCTTATTCGATTGCGTATAGTGTTAATAAACACAAATCCATCTGTGATCATTCCATCTCAAGACTTATTGTTTTTTGGGTATTGTTTTAATAGCGAGTTTTTCATTGATCAACAATACCAAAGATAGAAGAATGTCATTTGTATTTGCGATTTCTTTAAATTACCATTATAAAGACAAATTTTGTCTATACCAACTTATAGAAATTATTGTTACTTAGGAACTAGAATACAGTGTTAAAGCTTAGGGTGACCTTAGTTAACACAGGTCTTCAAGTATTTTATGCGAAGTATATCCAATATTATTCGGCATTTATACAGTTACGGATTACTCATTTTGCAAAATTTGTAGATTTCGAAAAGTTTGAAAATAACCATAATATAAACATAGCTAGAACTAAGTACCTATATATTTCAGCTAATGGACGAATTCGGCATACAAGTCTAAACACGTACAAGATCTAATAGACGAAACGAACGCATTTTCTCATACCTAGTTCTCCAATTTAGAGCAATCAAATGAAGCTTCGTGAGTCAGCCCGAGCCGACCGCGCCATATTAAAGAAGCACGTCAACATTTATTTAATGTTGTAATTGACCTGTAGGGCAACACGAACAATACTGTACACCTACGTTAATCAACTTAAAGTTGCCTGTGCACCACGTCTCTAATAAGTCACAAACGAAATGTCATCAAGCCAAACGGAAATTACCGTAATAGCATAAGGTTTTATTGGACCACATCAATTCAACTACCTTAAATCCATAATTAAATTCCATAATTAGATAAATAAAATTTGTAACAATTTAGGTTATATTTTATTTCGTCCTACTCAAATTCTAATCCGAAATTAAATACGACATTCTGATTTGACTATGACGATATCCGGAAAGCAAACTAAAACAAAATTGTTACACCAAATATGAAAACAAAGTTAATTGAAATAAAATAAAGGAAAAACATAATTTGAAATAAAGTTAAAACAGCACACAAAAAATTCGTACTTAAATATTCTTAGTTGACTTACAGATTATAATTTTTAATTTTTTTGTGGGGGAGGATTTTGTTAAAAGAAGTCAAATTGTAACGAATAGCCCAATGCAAGAGTCCACAATAATAAATAAAATAAAAAAATAATTACCACAAAAAGTAGAAAATCTTGATTTTTCTTCCCTTTTTGGTCTGGTTAAAGGTTCCTTTTCCAAACATAAATTCCATTTAGCTATGGGCTTAATTGCTAAAACGGTTCTGAAAGGGGTAATAACTGTTGAAAGCATTCCTGCTACAAAGTGAGATTAATTTGCAACAGTATTTAAGACTTGATAATAATGGAAACATAATTTAATTAATTTAAACGACAAATATATTTAATATTATTAATTAATTATATTAAATTATTAAAATTATTTATTGCGAAAACGAATTGTAATAAATTATTATTATTTTAGTCATATTATTTTGTCCTTATTCAATTCAATCCAAATTGTAACGAGCACAATGAAAGAGTCCACAATAATTGTAAGATAAAATAAAACAAAAAGTAGCCTATAAAACGGCTGAAAATCTTGATTCTTCTTCCCTTTTTGGTTTGGTTTTGATTTTGCCCCAATTGAAATAAAATAACCCCCGAATAAGGGGTATCTATGTCATTAGAATTTGTGTTCAAGGAATGCACATTTATGTTTCTATCATCTAGATTTTGACACGTTCTAGTGCAATATCGATCATTCATTGATCAAACATCATTGACCCTTTCTTTGCACGATGGACTGGTCATGATCAAAACTAAAAGCTAGAAACTGTATATGGGCAAAATTTAAACAACTTGGTATTTCTTTAATTGTGCTGGCGGTGTAACTTGTATATACTTGCCCAACTAAATTATAACCAATTTTGTTACAAAACATAAATTTGTTGTGTTATTGCTATTTGGAAAATTTAAATTTTATTGCCCATCCCATTTGGATGTTTTTCAAAAATATGAAATATATATGACAGTATAGATAATTAAAACGGATTAGTGAAATTAGAGCGACCGCAATTTATTATTTAGGTAATTAATAGCTTTAATAGGTCTGTGCGGCTATCGTTGGTAATGACCCGCATTAAAAAATCGCACTAATCTGCGTAAAATGTACTCTTTTCGATTCATGATATAAAATACGAACAAAAAAAATGTTTAAAATATTTTACGAATGGTTTATGAACGAATTATATTTTTTGAGAAATCCCGCGTCACAAACTAATAAACTGGCCTATTTTGTGGTGCTTTTTCACTAAATATTTAAAATAAAATTAAAATTTATGGAGGTTTATTTATGCATCTAATTTAATGTTGTTTTAATAAAATATTGGGAAATGTTTGTTTTAAGGCAAACTACCCAAATAAACGTATATATGAAATGTGATACCGTCAGAAATACAAAACAACAAGAGTGCCATCAACATATATAATTACATAAATATTACAAGAAATATTATTATGATTGTGGAAACTTGGACAAATCTCAATTTAAATCAGAAGAAATTTTATAACCGCTCCACTCTATATTTTAATGGTAGGTATATTATTTAATGATTGTGGTCAAATACAAATCTATAGCTTCAGCACTGGCTCCAGAACAATAATTTATTTAGGCCACTCAAACAAGCGTTCGAAAAAAATATTTTATCATTTTTATTGATTTATTTTGATTTATTAAATTTAGATTTATTATTATCTATATATATATATATATATATATATATATATATATATATATATATATATATATATATATATAGAGAAAATTATGTTAACAGATTTTCTCGCAGTTTGGTTTGAGTGAAAGGTTTTTCGTTTAGGTAATGCAAAATATGTATATATGTAAGTACGTATATCTCCCACATAGTAGTATGCAGGTATACCTTCTTAACATTATTTTATTTTGGTGTCAAAATAATCATTAATAAGGATAATTTAAAGATTTCAAATGCTAGTTCATAATGCGAGCTGGTACCTAGAAGTAGCGCTTAAAATTTTGTCGTAACCAAAACATCCGAAAGTTAACAATGTAGCAATCGGACTTGGACCTCCCCACCACAGTTCTGACTTTGTAATTATTTTATTGCACACTACCATAAAATACCGTAAAATCTTTTGTTGTTTAACCCACAATAAACCTGATCCCAAAGGTAATATATTCTGGCCAAGGTCTAAAACCAAACATAATCCGTAAATATTTTTATTGACGTTCGGGACTAGACGGAAACAAAAACGGTCGAAATAGAAAAAATAAAAATTTATTCATACGTATAATCCATATATTACTGAAATCTAACATCACAATAGTCATTTGTTTACTTACATACGCGTCAGTTTAACAGCGTCACCGGTTTATTTACATATTTATGTACAACAACACAATAATCAACAATAAAAATGAGATCAACAAAGCTGTTCTAATTCGGAACAAGTTAACTTAGTCTAGGTACCATGACCGTATTCAACGCGTCGCTACCACTACTGGAGTCCGGACTACTGGAAGGCGAACGTGTGTTTTGGTGGTACTGCGACATTATCAGATGATCTGGCAGTAACAAATTTCCGTAATCGACGGGTCTACGAAAAAACGGAGCCCCCAAGTTCACCCTGGGTGGCTGTACAGCCAAAAGCCGCTCTACGTTGTAAGGCTGAGGCTGTATGGGACACGGTCTCAACACGGTTGGTGATCCGGTCTGAATATACGGCCAAAATTGGGTCGTATTGGATGCGGGATAGAACGGATGGTAAACCGGTTGCAAAGGTGAATACATTGACAAGGTTCTTCTAAAGGCAGCTAGTCTGGATCTAGACGCGGCGGTCGACCTACGGCGTAGCTTCCCAGTGGTTCCGCCAATAAAGACGTCTTCTGCGCTGGGGTCCAGCATCCAATAGTTACCCTTGCCAGGATCATCGTAACTCCTCGCCACCTTCACGAAACACTTGTTCAAGCTGAGGTTGTGTCGGATCGAATTTTGCCAGCCTTGCTTGTTATCCCTGTAGTACGGGAAATTGGTCATGATGTACTCGTAGATGCCATTGAGGGTCAAACGTTTTTCAGGGCTGTTTCTAATCGCCATCATTATCAAGGCGTTGTAACTATAGGGGGGTTTTTCCTTGGACTTTTTTTCCTTATCTTTATCGTCGGTTTCGCCGGTTTTCGAACAATCCAACGGCGAAGAGTCGCAATCTCCAATAACATCTAATTCGCAATCGGAATCGTTATGCTCCGACTCGCTACTCGCTACATTCGGACTTTTCGGCCCCTCTTTGGCAGATTCCGACAATATCGAAGTGATGGAAAACGAAAATTTCAACGGGGTTCTCGCCATCGTCGGCAGAGCGGTTACTGCTTCTTCGTTGTTCACCATTTTGTAACATATGCACATACACTTTGAACTAACGTACGCCAAAGCTCTCACTCGACCTACGCTTACTAGGACAGAACTGACTGAGGGCCTGAGTAACTCGGGTAGAGGTAGAACACGATATCCCCTCCATAAAGTTGGACCAATAGTATCGGGCCAATGGCAGAGCGGGTTTCTATTCGGCCAGCCTCTGGGCGGTGACATCGTTTGTATATTTTTCATAGATATTCGTAATTGTTTGGTTTTCTATTGCTCGTTTATTGTTTGTTTTGTAAATTCGACTTAAACATTTGGCAACAGGGAGTGAATTTTGTTGCCGGTGAGGCAGTTGACACCATCGGAATCGTTTTGTGGATGGTTAACAATATTTTGGCAACAGAAAGCTTTGCGGATTTTTGGGATCAAGATGAGTTCGTAATTTGACTGAAAATGCGTAGGACAATATATTTTTATTAAAAAGAATTATTGAATGTTTTATTAGATCATACATAGCAAGCGAAGGAAAGAGATCATTTGTTGTATCGAGCCGAATAGATTTACAAACTTAAATAATCTATATTGTTCATAAAATGTATGTTCTTATAAAGGTATATTTTGGTTTCAATTACCTAATGAGGATTAATATTTAGAAATTATTTTAATTTTTAAACTTGACGTTTAGGTTAAATGCTACATAGATACCTAGACCTAGTTTGAAATGGTCAGGATACGTATAGGAAACGTTTTTATACATTTACATAAACTAACCAAAAATAATTTATGGACACAACCAGATGCGGTTTACTAAATATGTTGCATAATATTCTATTGTTTTACTGAGAATAATTTAATTTGTAAGCAATTTGAGATGGTTTTAGTTTTCATAAATTTTTAAAATTTGAAAATACTGACAAAAAGTGTTATCTTTGACGTCCTATTTTACAGTAATATACTTTCATGTAATATACTGAAAGTGTTTCTTCAGAAATATATGTGTCACAGCGTTGAACTAATTATGAAAAATTGGCTTGCATATGCGAATAATAAATATGATTCAAACAAAAATTAAAGCGATTAGAAATAATGCTTATCAAATTAATGTTAGAAGTGGAAATGACTTGAGGCTTATTCTCATTAATATTATGTATTGCATAAACGAATTATAATAAATTATTTTTATTTTACTTACTAGTCAAAAAGAAAGAAACTTTATAATCTAATCATAATGAATATAAAATTTAAAAAATAATAAGAAATGCATCCGGAGTATCATCAACGAGCGCTTTTAAACTTAACTTTTGGTATACAAAGGAAAAATGAAAAAACAATGGACATTAATCTAATCAAGAAAAAGTTGCCGCTTTTATGCACAATCGTTATCAAAAATAAATAAATATTTTGAGCCTTCTTTGCAAAAGAAATAAACCACTGGTAATTTGTTGATCATTTTAGGAGCAACTGTTTTTTTTCTTATATTAGCTGAAGGTTTCTGTCAGACTGAATGATTCTGTCATATTTTCTAACATTGTAAGATAATCTGAAGCCCGGGTTCTGAACTTTCTAGTGCCTGTGATAGCGAAAAGATAATGAATGACTCACACAGATATAAATTTAGATTGGACTCTATTATTTCAAGACTTAGGTAGAATTTTCTAGGCAATCTTTAGGAGTATTGAGAGAGCCAATCAACATGTTTTGCGGATCATATTACCTTCAAACTCTACAACAACGTCATTCATTGTTAATTTTAGATGATTTTTACATAGTCTACCTGTTTTTGTGCTGCAAATAAAATTGCTTGCTTGAGGTTATGGGCTGCAGATACATCTCATCTAGAATTAACGTCTTCCTTAATCTTAGTTGCTGCATCAAATACCTCATCTTCAGCGGCATCCTGATCCTGATCTTACTGACTTGAAATGCTTAAAATATATAGGTTCAAATTTGTATCCGTATTATGACACAAGCGTCGTCGTCTCTTAACTATGAGGGTGTCTGTTAACCTTATTTTTTTGATACCTAGTGATTCCACTAACAAACATTCTTAAATTTAAATATCCTAACTTTTATTTTGCGTTCCTCGAGCTGTATATTGTTTTATTGTAGTATTGTTTTTTTCGTAAATATATATATTTTTTATTACTATTACTATGATTATTATTACTATTATTACTGTTATTATTATTATTATTATTATTATTTATTGGAAAATAGTAAAGCAGTTGGGAAAAAGGATAGTAAGAACAGAGGAGCCAGCCTTGCTGTACGCACTTTCTCACAGAAAGGTTAATGGATTTACTATTTTTGAAGATGACCTGATGCTTTGGCAAATACAACAGTATCCAAGAGCTTTGCTATAATCTAACCGGAAACGACAAGTTACTTTGTCATCGATCAGCTAGACAAAGCAAAGCAAAGTAAATTAACTTAAAAACTAGCGTAAATAATTAATTACCACTACTGACACTACTTTTTCAGAAAGATTATTTTTGTAATAATTTTTCAAAAAATGTTTTTGAATTACTAAAGATATCTATTTTATTTTGTTATTAATTGTAAGATATAATCATTGTCATGACTAGGGATTTCAACTGGTAATTCGCATTCCGTATCAACTGTAACCCCATGCTCATCTTTTGTAGTGACTGATTTAATAGCATCTTTATTCAATTTATATTAAAAGAAAAGTGACTTTTTGTTACACTTTTGTTACACTTCTTGACATTAGAATCGAACAAATTGTCTTTTGACCATTTTAATATGTCATTATCATTTTCATTCACTATTTTTCTGTATATTTTAATGTCATCAGCATACAAAAAGATATTTGAATGCTTAATACTTTGTTCTATGTCATTTATGAAAAATAGAAATAATAGTGGGCCTAGTGTTGATCCCTGTGGTACCCCACATGTAACAAGAAATGGTTCGGAATTATTATTTTGGACTGAGACATAGTGCAATAAAAGGCACCAGTCCTTTAATATTATAGTCATATGATGAAATCTGTCAAAAGCTTTTCCATAATCTGTAAAGATGGTATCCTCAGAACAATCTTCAATCGGCACGGTATGGTATAATTTTGTTGTGGATATCATACAAGGCACAGTGTGGTAAAAGAAAACCCTGTAATGCAAATATAGTGCTTAAAGCATTTTTTTTGTATCAAATTTCAAATCAAATTAAGGGTTTTGCTCATTACATAAGGTTGAAAATCATTATTTCTGGTACCAAATTTTCCCAAATATTAAGTTTAGTATAGTGCTTACTTATTAAAAGTTGTTAAAAAAATAAAAAATATATCTATGGAGTATTATATTATGAAATTTATTGGAAAACTATAGTGAGTGGCATCTGGTGCGACGATACACGTCCCAAAACTGAGCAATATGGGCGATTATCCGCCTGGTGTCTTGCCGTACGGTTGCGGTCGCGTTGAAGAAAAATAAAGGGACCCTGTTTTGCTGGCACCGGTAATCCGCGTGGCGAATGCCAAATGTCACTAAGCAGAAATAAATGAAGGTGTTTGTTGCCGTGTAACTTTCAAGTACGCCGACAAACTAAGCCCGACTGACGTCTTAATCTCTCGTTCGGACTCGTTGTCTCATGCGCCTCGTGATCTGATTAGCTTTTGCGGAATACGTAGCTCGATTAAACATCCGACAACGTCGCTTCTCCGCATTAACGTCTACCATTTCTTTGGTTACGCCATTTTCGATTTCGTATAGGCAATGCGAATTTGCATATCTTACCTTTATCGGCCCTTGAATGTTTAATTAGAGTGTGTCGAACGCGTATCAGAAAATTACGCCTGATGGAGTGCTGAGTTAATGTGGCTGCAGTTAGATTTAAATTTGGATTCGCAAATATTACGGTGCTCTGGTTCGTTACTTACCCTAACTAAAAAAATTGTCAGTTTCTGACTACGCTAAAGACCTAGGACTCATGCCAGTTTTAATTTTGTAGATGTAGTTTACGGTCCCTGTTTGGATCAGAACGATATAAACAGAATCCAGAGAGTTAAAGAATCCTGTTTGACATTCGTTTAGGGCAATACCTTCCCATCTTGCATAAGTTAAGGGATGCAGGGTAGCTTGACATGGAGCAACGAAGAAGGCTCTCATGTCTTTTTTCATAAGTTTATTGCATCGGGAACACCTGCGTATTTGTTGAATCGTATCAAATATAGAACTGATATTCATAATCTAAATCTGAGGTTTCGGGGTCTGATAACCCCACCACAACACTCTACCACGTTGTTTGGCAGAAGCTTCTCCCACAACGTGTATAGTACGTTGGACTTCCCCTAACACTAAAAAAACTAAAACAAAGATTTAAAAGGCTACAAAAAAAATGCTGCCTGGTGAAAAATAGATTCCCGTACCTCTATCTAATTGCTCCTTCTTAATCCTGTACCTGACGATTAGTATTTAAAAGAAAAATAATTCAGCTTTATATTTCGAAGTACGGAATTACGGTTGAAGCTGTTGTTTTTATGTAATCGTTAAACTCGTCAGTTCTCTACCCAAAATTTATATTGGGACTTGAATACTTAAATTGCTTCCCACCTCCAGTTTGCATAATGTTATAAATATAAATATATTTTCAAGATTTAAAACTCTCAATAATGCAATCTCTGTTTCAGATATTAAAATGTGCCATTAAAGAGTCACCTAAGAGAGCTTTAAAGCGACGTATTGGTCAACCACCTTGCGGAATCATGAAAGGAATAACCTTTAATGTTAACAAAAATAGTATCCTGAGAGCAAAAATACGAAAAAAAGAACTTTATTACCCATTGTACAAAACAACAAATGGTAAGTGAGCAGATAATATCTCAAGCGGATTGACACTGCATAAGTATTTATGTAATTTAATTTATTACGTAATTAATTTACGTAATTTCATATAGAAATAAACTCAACATTATAATGCAGCTGTTGTTTGCTTAAGTAGCTCTAAGTACTCATATTTATATTCGCTCTATACAAAGGATTCTCTAACAAAAATTGCTTCGTTTTTCTTTCAAACTTGACGTGTGGCAAAGTTAAGCCTGGAAAAGGGAGCTCCTGTGTTTGAATACGAAAAATTTAAGTAGAAGGAAGCATCATTATGTCTAGCTTAGCAAAGAGCAGTTAAATGGTCATGACTTGCCTGGCCTATCGTTTATTAACGTCCTCAATAAACTGAGCAATAAACTAATAATTATTTCTGAATTATTTCTCACATGCTACTGTAATACTATTTTTCTTCTCCCTTCAGTAAAGCGACACTTAACCACATGAATTTCTTGTCCTACGGCTTGAATTCTAACGTTTGTCAATTCTGACGGTCATGTCAGTCAATGTATTCGTGTTGTTTTGCAAAAATGTACCACAAACTCCGTCCGTGCCAATTAAGCTCGTGGCTCAAATACCGTTTGCCGCACTTGTTGCATAATATACTATTATAGATTCTGGGATTTTTCGTTGGTCGAAGAATTGATTACATGCAAGAATTTTAGTTTAATTGAATAAAATTTAATGTCCGGTTTCGTGAGTGTGTTCCCGCCAGTGCTGATGAGTGAGCAAGTTTGGTTTATCAATAATCGACGCAGGAGGCATCCAGAAGATTTGTAAATAGTATTCGTTTGTGCATTTCCATCAGTAGCGTTATCGTTATTATTTGTTACGTTTAAATCGTAGGTTGAAGAAAATTTCCACAACGAAATGGAGGAGAGTAATGAATCAAACAGAAAGTGTCATTTGAAATTTATCTTTATTATTGGACAATTGCACATACTGTTTCTGCGCATTCAAGGTTTAAAAAACTTTTTGAAAAGTAAAGTAAAAATTTACTATAACCTTCCTGAAACTTTAGCGTATCTAATAAAACAAACCGCTAATTTTTTATATTTTTTAATCCAAAATTTGTCTGCAGGCCTTTGCCAAACATTGCGCCGATATCTGAACATTAAAATATTAAAGAGATCCAACGATGTTAATTCAGATTCGTACCAACTTCGGGTAGAAAAATAAAATATAAATTATTTAGACGAGACTTGGTTCGACACCCATGACATAAACATAACCCATCAAAAAACATTAAAGACTGTGACTACCATTAGCACATGGCAAGAACTTTTGGTAAAATTTCATCTTCTAACAGTTAAGGCAGTTAATTAAGTGATGCGATACCTACCTTTATATCGACACCATTGGCAAATAAGTATTCCAGGATCATTCCAAAAAAAATTCACATTTTTCTGTTCTATATGCTTTTCTGGCAATTTAAGTCAGATAATTGTGTTGAATCGATCCTTGGACATTTAAGATAACGTTAGATTTTTTTCAGATTGCGGAAAAAATCACTCAAACTCTACATATTTATAACTGGTACTTAATCTAACTCTCTCGGATTTTTTGTTACAAATTAATTAGTTGTTCTCATTTGTCTTTACGAAAAATATTTGAATTTAACAGAGAATCAACATGATAGTTTACAGTTTTTTCCAACATATCGTCAGAAAATCGAAATTTGTTTATCCAAAGCTGCAAGTCCCTTGGTCGCATCTAATATGTGTACCATGAAGTAGGTAAATGTATATTTCAAATTGTCACTTGCTTCCAGTCTTTAAATGTTCTTCAAGCTTAAAATGTCAAAATTTGATTTATTTCTTTTTACACGCAGGGGTACCTACAATATTTCTTTTCCGATGACGAATTGAAACCAAAACCTTTCAATAGCCCAATTATCGTCAGCGTAAGCAACGTTTTGGGATTACGGTAACATACAAGTAAATAATAGGCACCTCATAGGCGTAGAACTTCGTAGAAGCATGGCTATTAAATAAGTTCTTATTCTATTTTTTATATAAGTACAGTAACCAGACACTTTTATTTACATACTACCAGCTGTTTCTTTGTGACTATAAGTTTTTCAACCAACCGTGAAAGTTCTCAATCAGAGGCACATTTACATATTTCCACATACACTTGTGCAAAATAATGTAAATGAAAGTGCGGAAGAGCATGTTGAAAAGAGTAGTATGATTTTGGTTTCTTGACAGAAAGAGAAAGAATAGGAAAACTATTCTAACTACGCCCATGTCTCTTATTAACTGTCAGACCAGTTACATTTCAATAAAGTCGCTCTTTTGCCTCCGGGCTGCCCAGCAGTTTCGAAAGGTACCAGCCTCTCAATCATGTCGGTTTGTATACGCTTTACTATTTTTTGACAGTGCTGTTATGGTCTGGTTACCAACAAGACAGATAAAGACATCAAGAATTTGGCGTAAATATAGTTTGTAGAGTTGTGCGGAATACAGCATGTCCTTAAATATTTATCAAAAATGAAAGACGACTAAGTAATAGTTTGTAACAGAGCTGTAAGGTAATATAAGTAATCATAACTATAATTTTGTGTTTTTCTTGACCTTATGTACTCAATTTAACAAAATAAAGTTTTCCTGGATGTTCAGTTAACATTTCGGCTCAAAAGCAATCGGTTCAGAAATATATTGTATATAAATGTGCTTAGTTTAAAAATTAATCTGTTTTATGCACAATATTACTTAAAAAAACAAATTTTTTAAAGTTATACATGGACAAAGACTACATTATAGCTTGTCCAAATATAACGTTGTGTAGGCCGAATACAAAGCGAAAAATTATTTCGTTAAATATAATTTTAATAATATATACGAAGAACTCGGTCTAGATGTTTTTTTTATTATCGTCACTCATTTTTCTACTAAAACAAGAAATTTTCATTAAACTACTATCTATTTTGTATAGGTAAAGGAATTGAATGAATAAATATACATTTGATATTATTTTACTGTATATTAATTTGAAATAATAAGCTAATATATATATATATATATATATATATATATATATATATATATATATATATATATATATATATATATATATATATATATATATATATATATATATATATATATATATATATATATATATATATATATATATATATATATATATATATATATATATATATATATATATATATATATATATATATATATATATATATATATATATATATATATATATACATATATATATATATATATATATATATATATATATATATATATATATATATATATATATATCCGTTGGCGAAACGTCTGCAGGATTCCAGTCGGAGTTCAACGAGCGAACGGATGATATCCCGGAACATAGTGTCATCACATTTTTCCATCGGTGAATCAATACGTAATATATATATATATATATATATATATATATATATATATATATATATATATATATATATATATATATATATATATATATAACAAATTTTAGTTAATTGGGGTATCGGTCCTGATGAGGGCTCAAATAAAAGGCTTTTGTGCTACACCAAGCTTTCGAAAATGTTTATTTTCTTCTTCAGGGGCTACAATATGAAAGCGGCTCTTAGTTATTTAATACTAAAGTCTTCTAGTTAAAGTACTTACTGCTACAGTGCCATTATAGGCCAACACCAAACTCATCCGGATAACAGAAAGAATCAAATACGACCGTTAATTATTATAACCGAGGGCAGCCATCTAGACGAAATTGTTGTTACATTTTATTTAAACGAATTTTACTTCAAACGCAAAACGCAAATGATGGAAAGGTTTTATTAATATGACTACCGCCAGCCGTCCAGTTTTTTTTCCCTTCTTTTTTTCCTTTTGTTACCTCCTTTTTGTTTACAAGGCACCTAATGTATAGAGGCTTGGGACTATTTTTCTAAATTATAATTACATTGTGACGACACTATTATCAGCAAACGCAATTCGATTGACGGTTGGTTGTAAAGTTAAGACATTAGAGTAGATCACACTGAGGCCATCAATGTCAGATCTTTTATTGACCGATTTCGGTTCCAAGAAGATCTCCACCATTTCCAAAATTGCTCTTTTGTTGTAGTTGCTTTCTTTATGGAGAATTTTTGTTTCAACAAAGTTAACATCGTGATCCATTTGGTTAGAGTGTGTTGCTAATGAACAGGTGTTCTTATTGAGTCTGCAATCACTCTTGTGTGACGTAATTCTATCCTTAAGTACTCGCGATGTCTGTCCTATGTATACCTGATCACACTGATTACAGGGGATGCTATAAATTACTTCTGAATTCTTTTGTACCTCATCCTTATCTTTTAGTTTGCTAAAGACACTCCCCAATGTTTTTGTTTGTTTATATGCTATCTTAATATTTGTTTGTGCTCTCAGAATTTTTGTGAGTGTGGTCGTTAATTCTTTAATGTATGGCAATGAAAAATAAAAACATCTCAGATCGTCCATTTCTGGGCTATCTGAGTGGACGACCGTGTTCCGCGGGTTTGGAGCTCTTAGTGGGGTCGTGCTATATAACAATTTTTTAGTTAACCTACTTGGGTATGAGTTGTTAATCAGCATGTCGTAAAGCTTATTAAGATTTTTTTGTCTTAGTGATGGGTGAGAAATCCTCTCTATTCGTGTCTTTAATGCTATGACCAAATTTATTTTTGTTTTCGTTGTATGGTAAGAGTGGAAATTCATATATCTCCCCGAACTGGTCGGTTTTATGTACCAATCTAATATAATTTTGTTATCGTTGTTCCGGATCACTTTAGTGTCCAGAAATGGTACGCTTTTATCAATTTCCTCCTCTACTGTAAATTGTATGTGTGCATCATAGCTGTTAAACACTGTGAGAGTTTCCCTCACGCAACTTTCAGGTATGGAAGTAATTATATCATCCACATATTTTTTCAGAAATGGTAACTGAAACGACAGCTTATCTACGCACACCTCAAGTAGGTCATCCATAACGTATTGAGCTAATATTGGAGAAATGATGGCACCCATCGGTGTACCTAATTTTTGTTTGTAAAATTCATTGTTAAATCTAAAATACGTTGTATCAAATACAAACTGAAGTATCTTTAGGAAACTAATTTGTGACAAATCAGTGTGGTTTCTAATTCTGTTCCAATGTTTTTTTATACTTTTTTCTACCAAATTATATGGAATATTACTAAATAAAGAGACGACATCCAAGCTCACAAGAACATACTTATTAGGTAATTGTTTGTCATTGATAAATGAAGAAAACTTAAATGAATCACCAGTGAAATAATCATTATTCTTATTATATGCTTTGGTTAAAACCTGAGTCAACAATGAAGCCAGTTTACTGTTCGGAGCATTAATTGATGAAATTATCGGTCTTAAGGACAATTGGGGTTTATGTATTTTGGGTAAGCCATAAAATTTAGGACAAGTTTGATTATATATATTTAAAGTTTTGGCTACCTCATTTGTTAATTGTTTTTGATCTTTTAATGATTTGACAAGTTTGTTAGCTTTTTGTTGGTAAGTAGATGTAGGATCACATCTGAGACGCTCGTAATAGGTCCGATCCATCAGAATTTCGTTTGATTTTTGAATGTATGTATCTTTAGACATAATAACTGTCACATTCCCTTTATCGGCCCTAGAAACGACCAACTCAGCGTGATCCTTAAAAAATTTTTTTGTCTTTTTTAACAAAATGTCTATATAGCTACGCTTTGCCGGTTGTTTTAAAAAATTAGTCAATACATTAGTAAACTTAGCTCTTACAGTATTTTTTGCGTTCTCTGGTACAACTTTAATTATAGTTTCTACATCAGCAATTAAACGTTTGACTGAGATTTCATTGCATCTTGGTGGCACGGAAAATTTCGAACCTAAAGAGAGAAACCTCAAGACATCATCCGGGACCTCAACCTCTGAAATATTCTTAACCCAATTATCTTGTGTTTTGATTGTTAAGTGATGCTGTTGCGACTTCAAGTTTTGAAATTTGTTTATGTTCTTTTTTTTTGATGGTTTTGAATTTTTTATCACATGACCCTTGTTGTCTTTTACCAAATTCGTCAACGAATTGCGTTTGCTGATAATAGTGTCGTCACAATGTAATTATAATTTAGAAAAATAGTCCCAAGCCTCTATACATTAGGTGCCTTGTAAACAAAAAGGAGGTAACAAAAGGAAAAAAAGAAGGGAAAAAAACTGGACGGCTGGCGGTAGTCATATTAATAAAACCTTTCCATCATTTGCGTTTTGCGTTTGAAGTAAAATTCGTTTAAATAAAATGTAACAACAATTTCGTCTAGATGGCTGCCCTCGGTTATAATAATTAACGGTCGTATTTGATTCTTTCTGTTATCCGGATGAGTTTGGTGTTGGCCTATAATGGCACTGTAGCAGTAAGTACTTTAACTAGAAGACTTTAGTATTAAATAACTAAGAGCCGCTTTCATATTGTAGCCCCTGAAGAAGAAAATAAACTTGGTGTAGCACAAAAGCCTTTTATTTGAGCCCTCATCAGGACCGATACCCCAATTAACTAAAATTTGTTATATATATATATATATATATATATATATATATATATATATATATATATATATATATATATATCCCCAGAACATTTCGTAGAGAGGTATTGTTTATTTTTGCAGAGAAGTTGGTTCCTCGCAGAATGTAAGTTACCCAGTCATTCAGATTTAAAATAAAATCAAAATATTGTTAGCAAAGCCTCGGTCTAGATAAAAAATAGCAACCCGATTCAGTTGATAAACTTGATCGGAAGTCATATCCTAATAAGTAATCAAGGTCTAGACAACTAATATGAGAAAACCTTTATAAATAATAGGCAATGTGGTTCCTGTTTTATTAGAAAAATTACGTATGCCTATGCAACCTACCAAGGTATCAAGGCATGACCCGTTTTAAAACGTTCTTAATAAAAATAAATATATTATTTATCCAATATCAATTCAGTAGGTCCGCAATTACAGAAAAAACAGTGCCGAACCTTTTGCAATATTTTGCGATTCATTAAAAGTTAAGAATATAAAAATAAGACGCAGAAAAACGACGTCCCGTATATACAGACAACTGATATATTTATTGGGCCTACAGGTACAGAAAGACGTTTTGCAATGCGAAGGAGTGCATTATAGCGAGCAGGGAAATCGATCAAACAGTTCAACGTGTGTTGGTAATCAGGCTTTTTTCTCGGAAGCGATCAAGTGATAACAATCTTGTCGGAACGCGACCGTAGGTGCCTATTTACAAGATGTCGGTTTTGTATTCGACGGCCCGAGCAATGCAAAAAGCCGCATCATTAAGTTTTTGTATTCGTAGACATATTTTTTCATTTAACTCTGATTAAGAAGAAAACTTCCGCATTGTGAAAAATCGTGATAGGATATTTCCCCAACATCACTAATAAATATTATGGTTTTTGTATTAAATTTGAATCAAAGTCGTCATGAATAGTTGCAACTCACGCTTGTCCATATTGTTTTGTTGAAATTTGTTTCCTTAATAATTTGATAGACTGATGTATTTAATTGGTTAATGGTAGTTTAGGATTGCATACATCACATTCCATCCAACTTAGACGTACCGGCTCTACAATAAAAGGTAAGGTAACTGTGGTGAAGGTGCATATTCTTCTCTTTCGGAATACTGTCTCACTTTTTATGTCTCTACAGCTTGCTGTTACCAGTTTGCACTGCTCTCACCTGCTCAGTTGTTGTGGACTCTCTTAAATGCATTAAGTCTTTAATTGTTGCTTTTTGTTTTCCTTTCACCTGCAGTTTCTTTTTCAACTCCAAACACACACTTTAAGCATTTTTCACTTTTATCCACCCCCATATCTTTGCTCCATACATTAAGATGCTGTTCACTAGACCACATCATCATCCCTGTTTGCAATTTCTTCTTAGCCTACATCCTCTTTATTAATTTTTATTTGCTTGAATAGTATACTCCTAAAAGAATTTAATACGTATGTGATAAGTTTTGCAGTTGATGGTTGAGGATTGGAAAGACATAATTGATTAAGTTCATCGCATATTTTTATTAATTACCAAAAAAAAAATGTTTTTTCACATTTAGTTACAAAATGACCAGAGCTTCTCACACTTACTCTGAAAAACCAGAGATCGGATTTACAGACAAAGTAAAATAGTTGGGCTAATTATATAATAAACATTATAATAATAAAATAAATTATAGAAATAAGAAATAAAAAATATAGCGGGTACTGTTAATTGTTGATAAATTGAATACGGTATTACGTTTGAAATTTTCAGAAAAAAACTAAATTTTAAGAATTAGGGAACATTTTAAACCATCAACGCCCTTCTCCCAACATTTTCCATTACCAAAACAAAATTTGAAGAAATATCCTTACTTGAATTCACCTTCAATTGTTATTGTATTAGTAAGATAATTGATGTAAAATATTTTTTAAATTATATAAGTAAATTATTATTAAATTAAATTAAAAAAACGAACTTTCTCTTAATATTGCTGTAGAGGGACTTCTAAGGGTGGGTAGCACAAAATTCCTTGGAATTATAGCAGACCAAAATTTAAACTGGAAAACTGTGACAATTTACCTTCAAAAATCAACTAATCTTGGCAACTTATCTGTATGTGTCATGTTAAAATAGAATGTGCTGCAGTAGGTGTCAAAAGATAGTACAGGGCCCTCAGCAGCATGCCGGCCTGTAGACCGCACTTTAATTTGTTGTATCCTTATTGTGGAGCTTCGTATTCGTAACTTTAATAACAGCAATATTAAATTTTGAAAAAAGTAAGCATCATATTCGCAATTGCGGTAACCCTTGAATCATCTAGATTGTGGATTCTTCTGACTCAATCTACTGCATAATGAAACGAACCAAGAGACGTTAAGGAATTTTAAAATCAAACTAATTCAGTTTTTAATAAATGATGTTGGTGACCTATCTTTAAGCATTATTGATTATGTGTTATGTACGTAGAGTGTACGTTGTTATCTTTGTCTTTTCGACATTTTCCATATATTTTAATGTCTGGCAGAAATAATTATAATTCTAACTACACCTTTTAGAAATAATATTATACACTTTTAAAAATGAAACTACTCTAAAATTTATAAATTACAACTACATTTTTAAAATAAAATAAAATTAATCATTGCAGAAACGAACAAAGAAAAAATAAGAGATCCAATTTAGAATTTCTATTCATTTAAATATTATTAAAAGACTTGAATGTATATGTGAACTTTTATAATTTATATACACATGTAGGTAAGGGTTTCAATTTGGAGCTAGGTAGGTGATCATTTGTTTGCAGAAAAACATAGCTAAGCATTATTTACTGTTATTTTTAAATATTCACTTTTGCAAATAAATTTAAAATTTTAAACGAACGAGAATAATCTGATGAGATTTTTAGGCGTCGTCGTATAATTATATTTTTCCTAGGGCCAATCTTCCTAAAGAGCGGAAGATTAGCACACTTAATGCGGGCCTGCTTTGCGAATATCTGTCACGTACAAATTGCGCCCGACCTTTGTTAATTATCACTCTTTTCAGCAAAAACGAAATTTATGTAGCACACACTCTCTCCTTGCCGCCCGAAAGGGCGTAAAGTACGGAACACCTTGTGGCCCTTTTGTCCGACGTCAGCGCGAAACACAAAAAGCCGAAAAGTCGACTTTCAACGACAATGATTCCGCATTATTTTCGCTTTAACCATGTCGTCGGGTTGTCAAAAGTTAATCGTATTCGGGAGTTTTTACGTTCGGCCTCGAAAGTAACACAAAAATCTCCCTAAGCGGATCACGGGACCTTTTCAGTAATATTTCGACGATTAGATTGGGAGGCCCGAAACCTTCTGACATGTTTCTAGCCTGCTTAGGTGGATTTGAAAACAAATAAACACGGTTTAAATTAAACTAGTTATTAACCACGCGGGGGGTGTGGTACGGTCGCTAGGATCTTGTAGGCTCAAATTAACTGCTGGGATTAGTTGAGAATGGTCCGTATTTTCATTTGAAACGGGGACGTACCAAACCATAGGAAAAACATCGTCAAAGCTTAGCCGCTCCCTTTATATACATACTTTAAATGTCTCCAACACTATAAGATTCAAGCTTAATAAACAATTGTTTTAATATGTTCTTAAACTTTCTACTGTTAGTTATACCCTTAATTGAAAGTGGCAATTTATTGAATGTATGAGCCTTTTTAGGCTAT